TAAATGAGTGGAATGAGCAAGTGGGGTTGAAGATGCAGGTTTTCTGCTTCTGCACTCTCTAAGCAAAACTGTGGTGAGGAATTTATTTCTCTACTGTGTAAAGAACATCATCCATTATATATGTACTGAAAGAGTGATTATTTCAAAGAATAGATGGATTTACTAAGGGGAGAGGGAATAATTCTCTGTGTGAGTGTGTATGTGCATAAGCAGGAGATTGTGTGAAGCACTTTGCTTGATTTTATTTTCCAAATGTGAAGTGGAATAATGGAAAACCTTTACGTAAACTGCTTAAACATATAAATGTCATGTGACCCAAGCCTTGTCATGGCAGAATTGCCTCTTTGATTTATCACGATTCTGTGAAATTCCAATTCTTTATTCTCAGCAAGATGCATGAAAAGAGCGTAGAGTGCGAGCACTGTGGCTTAGTGGGATAAGCCTCTGCCTGCAGAGCAGGCATCCCATATGGGTGCTGGTTTGAATCCCAGCTGCTCCACTTCCGATCTAGCTCTCTGCTATGGCCTGGGAAAGCAGTAGAAGATGGCCCAAGTGCTTGGGTCCCTGCACCCGCATAGGAGACCCAAAGGAAGCTCCTGGCTCCTGGCTTCGGATTGGCGCGTTGCGTTGCCGCCAACTGAGGAGTGAACCAGCAGATGGAAGACCTCTCTCTCTCTCTCTCTCTCTCTTTCTCTCTCTGTGCCTCTCCTTCTCTCTCTGTGTTACTCTGATTCTCAAATAAATAAATAAATCTTTAAAAAAAAACATGTCTCCTTTATCTTGGCCAGCGAATGACTGCCTTACTACTGTCATATTTTCTCTCGCCCTAGCCTTAACCCTTTGGAAACCACCTGCACCTGCCTCTAGTGAGGCTCTGCATTGACAGTCAGGACCCCACCCAGATTCCCTTCCTATATCTGGTGCTTTCTTTGGCTTTTGTGTTCCGTGACAAGAGGCTGTGAATCCCAGCCAGGCACAGAAGCAAACAGTGAGAGACCCTAAGTCATTATCTCCCATGACTGGTCTTTGTGTTTGTTCTATTAGCTGCAAATACTCTAATCAAATAGAGTAAGATGAACAGGGGAAAAGATTGTTGACTTACTTCCTGGTGTCACTTGGTGTGTTGTAGATCTTAGGGTTTATGTAGGACCTACAGTGGAAATTATGAAGTGGGATGTGATTTTTGTCCCACCAGTTTCCACTTTGAGTCTTTCATACTCTGCTGTGATCCCCTGTCCTCCTGTCATACAACTTAGCCTTTTCTTCTCCCACTATTTATCAAAGGATCTTTATATGACTTTAAAATAACTTCTATGACTTTTACTCAATGTTAACTTTTCCAAAAGCTACATACATTACAATATGTGCATCTAATTGTGAAATGAAGAGTGCTTTTTTTTTTCATGTTAAAAAACATTGGAGATATTGTGGAGTCGAAGAAGGAAATTTCTTTTTTTTTTTGGAATTAAAAGATAAGTTTATTTTAATGCAAAAAAACCCCTTGAAACATGCATTTCCATGAATTTTTTTGAAGAAGCATCATATGCAACAGGGAATAGTCTCAAAAACATGAGCAAAAGAAGCCACGTGCCAGTGTCTAGGACCTGTGATTTCATTTATTTGGAGTTCTTTTTTTTTTAACTTTTATTTAATGAATATAAATTTCCAAAGTACAGAATATGGATTACAATGGCTTCCCTCCCATAACATCCCTCCAACCGGCAACCCTCCCCTTATCCACTCCCTCTCCCCTTCCATTCACATCAAGATTCATTTTCAATTCTCTTTATATACAGAAGATCAGCTTAGTATATATTAAGTAAAGATTTCAACAGTTTGCACCCACACAGAAACACAAAGTGTAAAGTACTGTTTGAGTACTAGTTATAGCATTAAATCTCAATGTACAGCACACTAAGGACAAAGATCCTACATGAGGAGTAAGTGCACAGTGACTCCTGTTGTTGACTTAACAAATTGACACTCTTGTTTATGGCCTCAGTAATCACCCTAGGCTCTTGTCATGAGCTGCCAAGGCTATGGAAGCCCCCTGAGTTCACTGACCCAAAGCCAGGGGCAAGGAGCTCCATCCTGGTCTCCCCCATGGGAGGCAGGGACCCAAACACTTGGGCTGTTTCTGTGGCTTTTCCCAGGCTATTAGCAGGAAGCTGGATCAGAAGTGGGACATGAACCCATGCCCAAAGGGGATGCTGGCATTATAGGTGGCCGCTTAACCCACTACGCCACAATGCTGGCCCCTTCTCCAAGTTTTTAATTTACTTTATATACTCACTCGAAAGGGGATTTTATAATTAATACTTCAGTCAATGGAGAGTTAGGTCCTAAATGCTGGGAAGTTCCATTGTTATAGCTTCAAATTTGATAAATGGAAATTCTGCACATGTAGATTAACACAGCATACAGGAAGGAGGCATTCTTATGTGGGAAATCTGGCTTTGAAGCCTATTTTCCTTTCCAAACCTTCCTTGTTCACTTGCCTTATTGTGCTTCATTGCCCCCTGTTACAACTCTATCTGTTCAAATGCCTGCAACATCCAGGAATGGGTCAGGCTGAAGCCAGGAGCCTGGAGCTCAATCCGGGTTCCCCACATGGGTAGCAGGGATCCAAATACTTGATCCATCATCTGCTGTCTCCCAGGGTGCACATTATTAGGGAGCTGGATCAGAAGTAGAGGAGTCTGGATTTGAACGCAGTCACACTAATATGAGGTAAAAACATCCCATAACAAATGTGCCATGTGCCCACTTTGATAGTTTTTTAATTTAAGCTTTAACAGCTTTATTTCTAGGCATTGTATACCATATTTCATGCATGTTATTTTCACACTATAATATCTCTGAAGTCAAGATATTATCTTCAGTTGGTGGCATCCCAATGAAATGAAGAGCCATGCTTTTTGTCATCACTGTGAACTATGAATTCCCCCCTAAACTTATCAAGATTTAATTTAGAGTATTACATTCACAGTCAATGGTGAAATTTAGTTCGTAGGCTTATCTGTTCATACTGCTTTTCTTTTTATCAGTATATTATATGAAAATTAATTTTGGGATTCTCCAGTCATTAAACAGCCTCATTACTTTACATGTTAAAAATTATGTTGCAGTACAACTTGGTCCAGCTTTTAAAAATGGTAGATCTTTAGTCACATTTTCAATCTCTGCTACAGTTTCCAGCTCTTGGGCTTCTTGGATACGTTCTGAGTAAGTTATATTTAGCTAGTATGTTCTTTGGAGAATGTGTCTATGAAAGTTGCCTCAATCTATATTTTTCATTTTATATAATTCAATTTTGTTTGTTCTTTTAACCTAATATTCCACCTTGTCATCTGTCATTAACATTTCCACTCCTATTTTCATTTTCTTTGAACTTGCAGGGAATCTTTTGTCCCATTCTAATATTTTCAACCTTTGCTCCTCACTTATGTCAAGTGTGTCTGCTGTTTGATAATCCACAATGACAAGCTCTGTGTTTCCAGGGGATGTTGCAACCCTCTCATGCTTTAGTAGGAGATGCAGACAGCTGATTTTACTCCAGTATGTTACCACATTTCCCTCCTCTCCCTCCTTGCTTCCTTGGTCTGCCATTCATTCCCTCCCCCTTTTCTAAATATTAGAGTTCGCCCAAATTTTATTTAATTAAGGCTTATCTTTCCTTACACAGTTTTCATAATCATGTGGGCATTTTATACTGTTTTCTGACAAAACAACATCAATTTTTAACTACATCAAAATGTTTTATTCCTTCCTCTCCCTAACCTGTAAGAACTTTAGAAGACTTTGACTCTCCGAAGCCTATTTTTTAAAGCTAATTCCTTATTCTCACCCTGTCTTCTATACTACAGTGTCTGAGTGTTTACAGCAGGTGATAATGGAACAGGCAACCAGGCAGTCAACCAAACGCTGCTACAGGGATGTACTCGGCTCCCCACACAGGAGACAGCAGCTTGAGACATCGCCCCATGCCAGCGAAGAGTACATCATCGCCCCATGTCAGCAGGAAGTAGCTTTAAAGACAGATCATCGTCCCTCTACCCCTCTTGGACTTTTGGGACTAATGTAATCCCATACAAACCTTGCTTTATAAAAAACAAAAGCGGGGAATGTTAGAAAACTGGCGCAGTTGGCCGCATGGCCCAGCTACCTGAGCCAGGCTCCACCCCCATCCTAATGGGATTGGCTGCTTCTGCTTCCCTGCCCACCCTCAGGCAAAGTTTTAAAAGGGCCTGTTCCTGAACACGTGCTCTCTTGGCCCTTCTCTCCTGCTCTCTCTCAGCTTCTCTCCTCCTCTCATCTCTCTTCTCCCTCCTCTGTCTCTCTCTCTTACAGTCTCCTTCTCTTTTTTTCCTTCGCTACCCCTTCACTCCGGTCTGTAGGTTATTCCCCAATAAACCCTTTCCCTTAAAAAACAAACAGAAAACAAACAAACAAAAAACAACAACAACAAAAAAATAAAGCTAATTCCTTACCACTAAAATGCAAAATATTCTCTATCTAATGACTTCTCAGGAACTTATAAAGAAGGAAATGTATCAGAAGTCATTATTTTGCCAAAGAAAGTTATGACAACTACATGATAACTAAATAAAGCATCATATACATTAGTGCATATTTTTATGTTTTTGCAATCATAAATTCAGAACTAAGACATCTGAATCTAATAGATAAAAGTCATAGTACAGTGAAATCTTTAGTAGTTATTTAATTTTATTAAACTTGTTCATAAAATGCAAAGATACAGCTAATTCACAGTTTTATTGCAAGTTAATATTGGGAATTTTAAAAGTTTTATGTATGCATTTTATGGTTATAAATAGATACAAATTTCTTGAAAAGTTAGTATAGAAAAATATTTGTGGTTTTTTTTGGAAGTTGTTATTAGTCTACCGTATCTCCATATGTTAAGTAAATATCTCAATAAATTACCATTCATAATTTTATGTATTTATTTTTGAAGAATTATTTTATTTATTTGAAAGGCAGAGTGACCAAGAGGCAGAGACAGAAAGAGAACTTCCATCCACTGGTTCATTCCCCATTGGACACGATTGTTGGCACTTGGGCCAGGCTAAAGTCAGAAGTGAGAAACTCCATCCTGGTTTCCCACATAGGTGGCAGCAATGCAAGCACTTGGGCCATCCTCCCCTGCCTTACCAGGTGCATCAACAGAGTGCTGGATTGGAAGCTAAGCAGCTGGGATTCAACTGGTGCTGCAATATAGAATCCAGTGTCCCAGGTAAGGGCTTAACTTGCTTTACCACAATGCCAGCCCCATAATTTTATTTTTTTCAGGAAAATAGTTTGTTTAGTTTTTCCAACTTATATTTGTTTAAACCATTAACATCTATGTATCCATGAAAAAATGCCTGAATACCACAAAGGCAGCTGAACATAAAGGGGTTGTACATATTTTTTTTTAAGATTTATTTATGTATTAGGAAGGCAGTTGCAGAGGGGGTGGGGAGGAGAGGGGGGAGAGATAGAGATAGAGATAGAGATAGAGATAGAGATAGAGATAGAGATAGAGAGAACCTCCAGCATCAGAGGAGAGGAATCATGTGGAAAGAGGGCAGATCTGGGTGTGTGTCAAGTTTTGAAGGGGGTTGACATATCAAGAAGATATCTGGCTAGATTTAAAGCAGTGTTCAAACAGTTTCTAAATAGAGTACATAAATGTTTACACTTCTATCAGTCTAGAAATAACATGACCAGTGCGTGTGAGGCTCAGGTCAATTAAGGCAACTGTAGACTAGAAAGGAAGCTTTTGGAGAAAAATCATTGGATGGTTTTACAGATATTATGAGGGCATGAATGTGATGAAGTATTCAATAATTCAAGGAAGATATCTGAGCTTTAGAGATCTACTCTGCAGAGTAGAGTCCGAGAAAGAAAAGTCAAGGATTGTGCAACCCCATAGGCAGAAAGCAGGAAGTTCCTTGTTCATGTTCTTGAGGTCTAGGCAAGAGAGTTTCCCAGGCAATTGAGCGACCTGTAAACAAATGCTCTTTCTAACCCAAGAAGTAGAGACAAATAGTTCTTACTGATCACCCAAGATGAAATTAAGGGGGGATCTTCAGTAAGTTTTAATCATAAAAGTTTCAATTATCTACTTTTATGCATGTATAATCATGAGAACAACAAATTAGGCACAACAAAATTGTTAGGTAAACATATGGTACCAAATCAGACAGGGCAAGGGGTGGAAGACAGACATGGAAGTTGTGCATAGACATTGCTTGCCAAGTCTTGATCCCTCGGAGGGCAGACACCCCCAATTTCTCTGCCAGAAACCTACATCCCTGATGAGATGAAATTGTCCTCACATCCTTCTGATCCTGGGCTGACCCTTTGTATGTTTCATCCTCTTTATCCACCTTGTTACTAGTGCCTAGACCTTCAGCGTTCCTTCCAACCAATCTCTATAGTTTATCAGTTTGTTCACTCCTGACCTAAATCTCTGAAAGGTTAATTTAGATTTTCATCATTTCATCTGAATTAGTTTCTTCATGAGTCAGTTTTACAACAAATATTTATGAATTACTTACAGAGTGTTACTCCAAACAGAAAACTTGCTCTTCCTTTAAGAAAACACACTTGCAAAACTTTATTTTAGGGTTAGACTAAACATGTACAGATACTCAACCACAAATTGGTATGCATAACAGATTTTTGTAACTCAATAGATGTTATTGCTAGTAAAAATGTATTTTTGATTGAAAAGGAGCAGAACATAGCCTTTTTTTCTAGAACATGCTGATTCCTTTTAAATGACTTTCTGTACTACATCAATTGTTCTTGGTCAATATTACAAAAAAGGTTTAATTATTAAAGTAATAAAAGATACTTATTTTGTAGCATTTTCATTTAGAAAGATTTTAGGGATCAGAGCTTGGTCCTAAGGTCTAATACACTCACCTTTCAAAACAGATTCAATGCATATCCACTTTAACCATCCCAAGACATATAATTTCATAATATTGAACAACATCCTTTAGCTCCTATAGTTCTTAATGTCTTGTTTGAGCTCCTATTCTGACTTCCATGATTCAATAGCTAGTTAACCAACTCTGTTTGATCTTAGATTTTATATTCTATAATTTTCATGTGGAAATAGAAACACATTTTCTTAATTCTGACACTGTGACAACAAAGACTCAGAAAGCAGGTCAAATGTATTTCTTTGAAATTAACTCTTTCGCCAGTGCCGCGGCTCAATAGGCTAATCCTCCGCCAGCGGCGCCAGCACCCCGGGTTCTAGTCCCGGTCGGGGTGATAGATTCTGTCCCGGTTGCCCCTCTTCCAGGCCAGCTCTCTGCTGTGGCCCAGCAGTGCAGTGGAGGATGGCCCAGGTCCTTGGGCCCTGCACCCGCATGGGAGACCAGGAGAAGCACCTGGCTCCTGGCTTCGGATCAGCACACTGCGCCTGCCGCAGCGGCCATTCGGGAGTGAACCAACGGAAAAGGAAGACCTTTCTTTCTCTCTCTCTCTCTCACTGTCCACTCTGCTTGTCAAAAAAAAAAAAAAAAAAAAAAAAAAGAAAGAAAGAAATTAACTCTTCTTTTTTCTTTTTTTAAGATTTATTTATTTGAAGAGAGAGAAGGAGAGGCAGAGAGAGAGAGAGAGAGGTCTTTCATCCGCTGGTTCACTCCCGATATGGCCGCAATGGCCAGAGCTGTGCCAATCCGAAGCCAGAGCCAGGAGCTTCTTCCAGGTTTCCTACATGGGTGCAGGGGCCTGAGGACTTGGGCCATCTTCTACTGCTTTCCCAGGCCACAGCAGAGATCAGAAGTGAAGCAGCTGGAACTCAAACCGATACCCATATGGGATGCCGGCACTGCAGGTGACAGCTTTACCTGCTATGCCACAGCACTGAACCCCCACACCCCCTTTTTCTTAAGAGTGAGCTTTTACTGAGAAGTTGGACTGAATGTCCTCTTGTACTCATGATAGACTGCTGCTCTTGAGAACACTCTCAGAATGCAATTTCGGGTTTTCTATGGATGTTATTTTTTTAGAAATGTGCATTTGGTGTAACTTTTTGGAAATGTGCATTTGGGTTGTTTACTCATCTACATGGCCAGATGATATGAGTAGCACTGAAATGTTTTGATATCAGGATCTTGATAAAAAGGAAATAGAAATAATTCAGGAATTAGATTAATGTATTTTTCTTTGATTTACATAGTCAGGACTAAAAAGAGAGGACTGCAAAATGGAATCATAGCTAGAGGAATGTCAGGCAGGACGATATACACCAAACAGCAACAACTGTAACATTAAAGGCGTGAGTAGAACTAAGATTTTTCTATGTGCTTTTCATTTACCTGTTATTTTACATAAACATGGAAACTAGAATTTAAACTTGAGTCATAAAACCATGTAATTCAGGCCTGGGGCCTCTTAATTTGAATAATGAAAACCTTGGGCAAATTAGTCAATGTCATATGTCTTTATCCACTCAGGTCACTTTAAGGATTTTTAAATTCCATTATACAGAGAGGTAATTATATAGACTATATTATTGTGATGTACAGCCAATTTGAAAATTCCTTTTCTAATAAACTTTGCTTGACCCTTAAATTTTTATCTTAGGCAGGAAATGATTGTAAAACAACCTAAATTAATATATTCCCTTTGGGTGACTATATTATTGATGTCACTTCAGGTTGTTTTTTCCTTTAGTGAGCAAACAGGCTGCTCTCTCAGTTCTTTCTTCTGATTTTCCATGACAATGATTGGAATAGCCTTCACCCATGCTGCTTATCAGTGCTTATCATTGCCTGTTGAGAAGCCATCCTCTAGACTAGTTAGTGAGATGAAACACTGAAATTGTGAGACCACAGCTGATGCAACACTTGCCTTTGAAGATGCCTGCCAGAGAATATGTTCAAGGTTGCTCCATAAATAGTAAATCTTTTTCCTGTGTAGTCTTTAACAGGAGCTTAAAATGGATCTCTAGAAGGCTGTGTGGATTGAACAACAGGAAATTTTAAACAAGTCATTAATAGCTAATGATGTGAGTGGTAGGCAACTATCCACGAGCAGCCATTGGAACACGAGGAGACGGAGGCCAGGTCAAGGCAATGGGACGTGGCAGCTTTTACTGCCGCAGCACTCCCTTCTTGCCAAGTACGAGAGCACTTCCAAAATCCAAGGATAAACGGAATTAAAATATGTCTATTTTGGTGTAAAAAGTTGAAAGCTCTGCATAATTTGTTCATAATGATCATCTTCCATGAGTTTTTAAGGCCTGATATATGTTATTTCAATGCTAGATGTAATTTACTGGCTCATTCATTTTCACTTGGTTTACACATATATATGTGTGTCTCTGTGCAATATATATATCTACATAGATAATTTTATTTCCAAAAAGAACTTCTGAGTGTATATAGGTACTACATGGCAGTAGAAATAAGTGAACTACTGACACCTGCAACAATAGGATTAAGCTCAGGATAATTATTCCAAGAAAAAATTATGATTTTTTTCATAGATAAGTATGAACAGTATGGTTCTAGTTACATGATATTCTAGAAAATACAAATGAATCTACAGAAAGTAAATTATTGGTTACCTGGGAACATGGGTGAGGAAGTACCAAGGGGCATTAAGAAACATTGGGGAGTGATAAATGAAGGCAATTTTTAAAACTTGTGGAAAAACGGAATTAAAGAAACATTTGTTGGTGAAAACAATTCTTGAAATCTGGGCACAACTTTTTCAAAATACACATCCCCCTTGAACTTTTTGAGGACCTCCTGATGCAGTTCATTCACTTAATTGTGGTGATGGTTTCCTATGTATAATGTGTCAAAATTAATCAAATGGTATATTTACATGTGACCAAGTGATTATATGTCAGTCGTATCTCAGTTAGTAATCTATGAATAAATCTAGACAAAGCCCTGGGAGGGATTAAATGTTCTCAGAGTTCACCTGTCTCAGGTTGACTTGTACCGGGACTGTTGTAGAAGAGCCTCACGACTCAGCCACCTTTTTCTGTGCTCCTTTCCTCTTCTCTCTCTCCCTTTCTCTTGTTGTTTTTCTTCTCCTTCTCTTTTCTTCTGTTCCTCCCCTCTTCTCCTTAATCTAAAACACTTCCTATTAGCCCCTCATGGATCCCATTGGAGTCTTTTCTTTCTTCTTCGCTTCTTACTCAGCATAATACACATTGCCCCTAAAATGCTTGTGACTCCTGGATTTCTGTAGCCATACAAGCTCTGTGGCACCTGATGTCACAGCACCCCAGAACTGGGCCAAAATGCTAGAAACATTAACTATTGGGACGGCGCCGTGGCTCACTTGGTGAATCCTCCACCTGCGGCGCGGGCATCCCATATGGGCTCCGGGTTCTAGTCCCGACTGCTCCTCTTCTAGTCCAGCTCTCTGCTGTGGCCCAGTTTATTGGGCGCCTGCACCTGTGTGGGAGACCAGGAGGAAGCACCTGGCTCCTGGCTTCAGATCGGCACAGCGTTGGCCATAGTGGCCATTTGGGGGGTGAACCAATGGAAGGAAGACCTTTCTCTCTGTCTCTCTCTCTCACTGCCTAACTGTGCTTGTCAAATAAGTAAACAAACAAACAAAAAAAGAAACATTAACTATTAAATTCCGGCTTAAGGATCATGTCTTCAAGGAGATTTTTTTTTCTCACCTTCATTCAGGGTGTTTCCCCAGCTCTCTGTTCACACTGTTCCCTGTACTCCATACAACAAAATACTCTGTATCCTTTATTGCCATTATTTGTTAAATGTCAGTCTTCACTTTTCATCTGCAAGATTGTAAAGATAGAGATCATATTACTCTATTCCAGGCTTCTGTGTAATTGACACAAATATTTTATCTGAATAAACTGAAAAGAGTATCTTAGATGAGAACAACTTTATCCATACATTACCTAAGGTAAATTACAAGCAGAAACTCAAAGAGGAATTGCCTGAAATCAACATTTACTAACTATAGGACACTCCATCAGTTAACAAAGAAATAGTTACTCATTCACACATTAATCAAATATTTATTACAGAGTGTTGAATTTTGCCCTGAGGAATACCAAGAATAAATAGATTTTTCACCTGTCCTTAGATTATTTATAGTCTGGTTGAACAACTAAAATGTGCACATTAAAAAATAACTAATAATGCAAGGGAGTGTGTGAACAAGGCTGATGGACCTATTAGGTGTTCAGAGCTCACTCGGGCCAGCGTGGCAGGGAATACAAGAAGATAGCACAAGGATTGTCTAGAGGAAGGCAAACCTGACAAAGGCTCTGAAAAAAAGAGTATGAGGAGCTTAAAGGTTTGTTTATAAATTTTGGAGACTCAAATGTAGAAGTTTCAATGCAAAACAATTTATGCCCCCAGGTGAAAGAAGTTTAAAAGCTGTGATAGAATCTGATTGAAATTATGGATAGAATTAATGTCCCATGGAATCATCAGGGACCATGATTTCTTCCTGTTCCTGTTCTGCATGCAGGATTTCTAGCCTTAGATACACCTCATGGTGTAACCTGGTTGCTAGAGCTCCAGAGATTGCATTGCTTCCCTCAAAAAAAGGTTTATTTATTTATTTGAAAGAGTTAAAGAGAGAAAGAGAGAGAGAGAGAGAGAATCTTACACCTACAAGTTCACTCCCCAGATGAATAAAATGGCCAGCACTGGGCCAGAAGCCAGGATCTTTATCCTGGTGTCCCCTGTGAGTGCAGGGGCCCAAGCACTTGGGCCATTCTCTACTGCTTTCCAAGGCCACAGCAGAAAACTGGATTAGAAGAGGAGCAGCTGGAACTCAAACCAGCACCCATATAGGATACTAGTGCCGCAGGCAGAGGCTTAGCCCACTACCCGACAGTGCCAGCCCCTGTGTAGCTGTTTTTTTTTTTTTTTTTTTTCTTTCTTTTTTTTTTTTTAAACAGCTCTCCTGGGCAATCTACACTATGCTCTCTAAGGTCTCAGTGACCAGAATTCAGCCACATGGCCATGTCCACTTGCAAAAAGGACTAGAAAATGCCACAATTACACCAGATGACAAAGTACTCAGACAATGTGTACCAAGTACAGGGGAGAAATGGAGATCAGGAAGCCGTCGGCAGTGTCTGTCAGGTGTAGGCAGAAATGAGAAATATAACTTGAAAGACAGGCTTATTTGAGATTTTGTGGATCTCTGTGAATACAACCTAAGGATTTAGGAGATTATATAATTATGCAAGTTTAACTGTTAATCTTGGATAAGCTAATGAGTTTTATTTAGTACAAGAATCTTCAGGGGCTGGTGTTTAGGCTAGCAATTAAGTCACCAGTTACAGGGTGGGCATTTGTCATAGTAACATTATTATATTAACACTTTGGGGGGAAACACCTGCAACCCATCTCAGTATGCCTGGGTTCAAGTCGTGGCTCTGCTCCCAATTCCAGCTTCTTGCTAACACACAGTGGGAGGCAGCAGGTGGTGGCTTAAGTAATTGAGTCCCTGCCACTCATGTGAGAGATCCAGATTGTGTTCCTGGCTTCATCCTGCCCCAGTTCTGGCAGTTGCAGACATTCGGGGAGTGAACCAGTAGATGGGGATCTCTCTCTCCTTGCCTCTTTCTCTGTCTCTGTCCATCTCTCTCTCTCTCTCTGATGTGTTTGTGTGTGTGTTTGTGTGTATGTGTGCACATGCATGCTTTCTCTTCCTTTCAAATAAATAAATAAATAGTTTTTTCCCCAAAAGTTGCTGGTTAGGATATTCCATCCCACATTGGAATATCTGGGTTTGATAAGCGGCTTGTTCCAGACTTCAGCTTCCTGCTAATACAGACCTGGGGAGCAATAGTGATGACTCAAGTAATTGGGAGTCACCCACATGGGAGACTTTTGGCTCCCAATCCAGTCCTGGCCATTGCAGGCATTTAGAGCATGGAACTAAATGGAAGCACACACACACACACACACTCTCTCTCACTCTCAAACAAATGAATAAACAAACAAATACATAGTTTAAAAATTCTTCAAAACAAAAAATTGGTTTTAATTAAATAATAATTTGGCCAAATTTACTATGAATTTTGTTAAATTGTACTTGAAAAGATTTCTCTGCTTTTGCTTTTGTTTTTACCAGTATGTGAAAAACAACCTGAATTTTATCCACATTATCCCATGATTATTTTTTCAAAATTGAAGTGATACAGTTAAAAATCAACTGATTTTCAACAAATATGTCAAAACACATATTTGAAAAAAGGACGGTTGTTTCAATAAATGGTGTTGGTAAAACTGGTTATTCATGTGCAGAGAATAAAAACAGACC